GAAAATTTTCAAGATGCCTTCTAAATTTGACTTACCTGGTTTCTGTTATGTAGGACACAACTATCAAATACAATACATTTAGTTTTAGTTTTTTGCCAAAGTTAAAAGGAAAGTAATTATGTAAGAAAAAAAGAAATTTGAGCTAAAAAAAAACATTACTTGAAAAGAACAGCATTTTTAGTAATAAGGTTTGTGAGTGTTCTAGTTCAGCTCCTTTCCTAAGAAAGCAGTGGCCAAACATGTCAGTTATTTCAGTGAGACAGAATCAGGTTGTTTCTACAGACGGGCAATAAATTATTATGGCATGTCACATGAGGTTTTGACACATGCAGCAGCACCTAATTTCAAGAAAAGTTCCAGCAAACTGATGGAGTATACACCAGAATTCAACTAAAGGTGGCTGAATTTAGCTCTTTAACCATACAACTTGTGGAATTTCTTAGACATTCTGATTGCTAATTTCGCTTTAAAATGTAATTTTGCACATTGCACTGTGTAGTGTTAAAAGTGTTATGTTTATTTCCTCTTTTTCCTATAAATAGCAGGTCTCATACTGTGCTTTGTTCTTTCTGGATATTTCTGTATTATGGTTTATTTACTTCCTATGTCCTCTTAACTTGCATCTTTAAACATTTTCAAAAAGAAAGCTTTTGCCAGTGAAAGGGAAAAAAAATTTCTGTCTTCTGTAAGACATAATTTTTTTCATTACTTCTACTTTTCCAGTTTATCTGAAAGGAGAAATAATAAGTCACTGATGTATCAAAGCATCTTCCCTGTAATGATGTGCATATGAGACAACATTTTAAGTTGCTATTGATCTGCAAATAACAATTCCTGAGATGACCAGATTTCATCAGTTTCTTTCTAAAAATAAGCCAGTCTTTAAATAGAGTCCAACAAATGCAGTAATATCAGACTCAATTATCTAGCTGAGGTTTTTTCTCAACAGTTTGAAACATTGAAATACCATCTTTGTTCACTATGATACTTGATTGCTAGGTTTTTTTTTTTTTAAATAAAATATCTACTTTATGTTCAGATATATTTTTCAGCTTAAATGGTGAACTACATCCTCCTTATTACTTGATTTTTTAATTGTTGTCTTGTGAATTCTAAAACAGCCATGGAAGGACTAATTTGAGCAAGCTTTTGATTCACATATGAACAGTTAAAACATATGAGTACAGACACAATACAATGTAAACACAATGTAAAGGGAACTAGAATGCCAACATCTCTAGGTGGCTTGTAGAGTATTTCTGGACTTCTGTGAGGGGTATCTCAGGTTATGGAACACATAGATTTTAAAGCAATCACTACAATAAAAGTCATCTTCAAGAGGAGAATTTTCCGTGTTTTTTTTTTAAGACAGCAGCTTTAAATCCTACCTTTGTTTAACTTAGTTTGATGCAAATATAAACAGTGGTTAGGGGGATGTGGAAAATGCGGTTTCAGTTACATCATACTGAGGTCATGATATTAATAGAGTTCCCAGCTTAGACCAGTTTGTTTTTATTTACAGCTGGAGACATGGAGATCTGATATACCAAGAGAGGACTTCACCCCTCTTTATAAAATCTGAATGAGACAGATTTTCAATACAGGAGCATGACTGGTATACTGGTTAGCTACAGCTGGCAGGGAAATGCAGTTTTATTCCAAATTTAAGCATGTATGTAAGTGGAATAATGTACTGTCAACATGTCAGTGAAAAAGATAAGAGAGTTATGTTGTTAGCCTTCCATATACAAAATGTCACTGTACTTTTTAGGAGATGTAGCACTGAGGGACTATGTATACACAAAAGGAAACCTGGAACAGATCATGCACCTTGGATCCATTACCTCATAGTAGCTGTGCACCATTATGTACATTACAGATGGTCACTGTCTCTAGTTAAACAGTAGGTATATTTAAAAAGGGATCCTGCTGGCCTTCAGAGGTTGTCCTAAGAGAGGTCTCCCCTCCACCTTGGAGGAAAGGGTCCCTCAGGCAGCAGCTCAACTTTCGAGGGACTTCTAGTGGTGTTTAGGTAAAAGGCTTCATGGCTGCTTATTTTATTACTGTCTGATATTAGATCACTATTGTTTATTGCAGGTGGCTGCCCGGCAGGTGGGGAGCTAAGGAAGTGTACGTGTGTGTTAGGGCAACGGTTTCCCCTTGTTAGGCGAGGTATCCCCTGTGCGAGTGTGTGTGTGTGTGTGTGGCAGTTAATACAGCACTTATTGCTTCCAGGAACCTCAACAGCAAAATGTTTCCTGCACTTTGACATTGATGAAAAACAAATTTGTTATTTCCATTTTGGTGTTTTTGTGTTTGTTACAGAACAAGTACTAAGCCTGTATTATTTCAGTACTATCTGTTCTCTTGGTTTCAGCACAGACAAAAATATTTCAGCGCCAAAGATAAATATTTTATATTTTAAAATACATTTAAATATTAATTTGATTAATATTCAATGCCTATTTATTTGCATAACTAAACCAGAGACAATGGATTCAGACAAGATTAGCTGTTTGCTTCTGTAAAGCAGAAACTTTTCAAATAATTTTTTCTCTCTTTTTGCTTGGTGTGCTTTATTTAACCAGTAGAATTTTTTTTTCTTGAAAAGATCTAGGTTTTAATAAGAAGCCATATTTCACTGAAAATGAGTGACAAAGCTGGCATTCCCACAAATGACTGCCAATATATTATTTTTGTTTATGTGATCTTTCCAAAATAACACAGCTCCCCTTTTTCTGTCACTATGCACATATTCTTCGGCAAAGTGCTTCAGAATGCTGCAAAAGTAAAGCAGTTTTAGGACTCTTGACGATGTCAAAAGGAAAATAAGAACGCAAAAAGTATCCTTAGCATATAATTTAATTAAGGAATATCTTGAATAAATATACATGAAGCAGAGCTAAAATCTATCCCATTAGAAAAGAAGATGTCAAAATGTGTATCAATGGAGTTTGTAACCTTTGGAAAGCAGATAGTCTTTTTTTTTTTTTTTTTTTTTTTAATTTGGAAAGAACTTAATATATTTTCCTCACTACCAAAGGGTAAACAATAGTAAGCACAGAAAGAAAGGCAGGTAATATGTCAGCTCTTGCAGCATGTACATCACCTAGTGGACATGCTTTGCATACTAAAGGGTGGGGATGGGATCTATCCTGCTAATGCATATTTTCTGCTCACGTTATCAAGTGTTAATCCTGGTGTGTGTTTTCCGCACATGTGGAGCTGCAAAGCGCACCCAGCAACTTGTGGCTCACCTGTCCCAGCCCTTGCCAAGTCCCGGAGAGGGGGCAGCATTTCTGCAACACAGCACTCCTTTATGTTTTTGCTGCTTTTCTGTGCAGGGGTCAAAGCAGGATTTAGCCTGTATTCCCAAATAAACCAAAAATTATTTTCTGAAGAAAGCGTTTGCAACATTGGTGCAAATCTGCAGCAGACTCCATCCCGCTGCAATCCTCTGCACTGCTCAACCTACAAAATGTGTGCAAACAGACTGAGGGGAAAACAAAGCGTGACCTACACGAATATGCAAAATACACTTGCAAATTAGAGGGAAAATTGGAAAGATATAGTTAAGGCAAAGGTTTGTGAGTTAAAGCTATCGATGATCCAGCTTAGCATTCTATCTGACTGTTTAGTTTTACACAAATATTTACTGCATCACTTCATGCAAATGAGAGCTTCTCAAGTGAATGCTGTCGTAGCTACCTACAGCCTTGATCTGGATGCCAAGGCCCAATCCAGCTTCAGCAGAAGCAAACAGCGAGATCCTTGTGCACTTCATGGATTCTGAAAGTAAGCTTCTGGAAGTGGAAAACACATTTGTAGAGGAACATCCCTGAAAAAAAAAAGGATGGACTTTTTATGTCTGAAGTGTGACTGGAAAAGTGTTTGAGGAGCATGAGCTCTGGATGGGAACATGTGACAATATGTAACACTCTGAGCTGCAAGGCAGTGACAATTAAGAGGGACATACTTGTCTCTATTTTTAAACAGCAATGAGGTGAGTTGATATTTAAGTTCTGTTCCAAGAATTTCAGTGCAGATGACTGCCCATAGTATAATTATTCACAGTAAAGACTGAGCCATGTTTCAGCTCTGAACATTTGATTGGTCTCTGTACAATCAAAATATAGTCAGATTTGGACAGCCTAGCAGGATATTTCTGACTTCCATGTGCAACTATACTTTAACCAGCCTTTCTCTCACACAATGTCACACAGTGATACACAGTGTAAATCCTTCATATGTCAAATCAGACATGGCATCTACAGTCTGCAGAAAAAAATCTGCAGGGTGTAAAGTTACCAAGTGTTTGTGAGGTCTACTGTGAGGCTGCATTTTTTTTTTTTTTCTTCCTTCCTGAAACCTGAATTCATCTTCCAAAGAACATGTTTATTTTTCCTTTTTTTTACACAAAAACCACATCTACTTTCTCTGGGAAATAAATATAGAAAAGAAAAATGTATGGATAAGAGAAGTTTGCAATAAGCCAGGCTTCAAGCATCAGCTTTACAGTATAATGATAAGACTCAATGGTTACAATCTTTTGTTATTTAGGAATCACGTCAATTCTCCCAGCATGTCTAAGAAAAATATAGTTACCATTAGGTAGTTGGCATTTAACACTCTCTACCACACTCCATTATCTGAGAAGGTTTTGTCCTTACTGGGAACAGTGAGAAATGTCATATAAGATGAGCCAGAGCTGGGAGTTTAAATAGGTGATTTCTGTATTTTTCTCATTATGAAATGAGACCACAGAAGTCTATAAACTTCATGGATATTAAATTGCTAATAGTTCAGATTAGATTTTCCAGAGTTTTTAAATCTAAGCTGATGCTCGTCCAATAATTTGAACAGTAGTGCCTAGAAAGTTGATTGATCTTTTGGAGTGAATGTACACACCAAAGAGGAAGCATTGTAGGGTTTTTTGAAAAGCTGTAAACTAAGAATTAGGAGTCAGTATTCAGTCTGTGACAATTCATCAAAACATGGTCTGAGACCACTGGCAAACCTCTTCTTTATTTGTCACCTTACACATAGAACAATTGGAACGAAAGTATCATGCCACAAAGATTTTCAAACTGAAATTTCTAAATCTGCTGAAGACAAAAGAAGCCTTATAAAATTTGCTATCTTTAGATTATTTTTAAATATTTGAAGATACCTTTTAAAAGACTCTCCCATAATTTGGCTTTGAAATAGACCTCTGTAAAACAGATAGTTTTAAATTAGAAATCAATGACAGACTTGTGGCTGCTCACCATCTTTGTAAATTGAAATCACAGTAGACCAAAACATGTTCTGATTTATGTAGTGTAAAGCTGAATTTACTCCAAATTCGACCCTGGATTACAAGATACTGACCAGTTCATTAAAGTTCCATATCCTGAAATGTCTGCAGAAAAGGTAGCTTTATCCAGATAATAAAATATATTTTAAACATATTTTCAAAATCAAACAAAATTTCAAAGCCAGCAACAGAGGCAAATACTGTTGTAAACATGCAGATAAATATAGACAAAAATGTTTCCCCCCTTTTGGAAACGTGTATGCCTTTATAATAAACACACAGAATGCTACTTTGCATTCAATATGTCTATTTAAAATTAAGTATTTGTAAATTTGCAAGATCAGGCCTATAGTGTATATGTGTGTGCGTACGTGTGTGTACGTGTATGTACAGGAATAAAGAAGGCAGCTTGATTAGAAGTTCTATTCCATGCTCACTCTTTTACTTAACATCTGACATTGGAAAAAATGAAGCTAAATGTTCCAGCATTTCTGACAGTTCCAATCCATTATCTGCAATCTGAAAAAAAAAAGTACTTTTTTACAGTGAAGCAAATGTAAGAAGTTTTTTTTTTTTTCTTTGTGGAGACGCCTTCTTTATATAGTGACAACATGACAGCAGAGATACCAGTTTGCTGTAGATTGTGTGACTGACAATAATATTCTCTGCAACACGTAGAAGGGAATAACTGATGAATCAGAAAATATATGGATGCCTACCGAAATGATTATGTAATGAAACACGAAGTCAAATGGTGGCATGCTTCTATTAATTGTAGATGATAGTAATTAATTTTCACTGCAGTTGTGATCATGTCGCTGCTTTCAGAAGAATCCAGAATCCCCTTCCAGGAAAGTGTGAAATTGCATATGGGTTCTTCAAGCCATGAAAGACTATAAATTTCTTTTAAAATAAGAGAGGGAGGCCTTCCCCGATACTGTACTTTAGAAAGAGGAAAAGACAAAGACAAAAAGAAAATGATAATTGTTTTCTCTAAGGCTATTATCTAATGCAAAAGCAAACAGTCTGACTGGAAATCAGCTAACAGAAGGGGATTAGAGAGTAGATCTGAGAGTGGCTTGATTTCTAGCACTGCTGTCTCTTCACACAGTGATGAGACACAGGCAGAGCAGCCAGGAGCTCTCCAGATGGCTAGAGAAAGTGTTTGTCTTGGGTTACTGCAGGGCAGTCTGGACTCTTAAAGCCGGGGAAGCATCATTAGGGAGCAAGTTAGATGTCCACCCAGTAAAAGCGAGCGAAAGAAAGAAAGAGTAGGCAGGCTGCCCGAGAGGGACCACGCTCGCCTATTGTTAACATATACTTGACCCCCACTAACCTCTTCACGACACAGATGTCTCCTACCTCTATCACCTCCCACTGCTTTAAGCCCTCCCCCCCTGCACCTGGGTAGCGGGGCCGGCCCGGCTGCCGGCAGTATGCTGCCTGCCTCGCGCGCTGCCTGCTAGCGGGAGCCGGGCGCAGCGAGCGCAGCGGCGGCGCAGCCCCGGCCGGCGGCGGGCTCGGCTCGGCACCGCTCGGCACCGCTCGGCACCGCACCCCGGCTCGGCTCGGCTCGGCTTCGCCGCGGGCTCAGCTATGCGTCGGCTGCTCGGGGACAGGCAGAGACCCCGCCACTGACAGCGGCTGCTCCCTGCGCTCCACATCACGTTTGTCTGAGGCGGCGGCGGCGGCGGCAGCAAGGAGAAGGACCTGGGCATTAACTATCTCGACTTGGAGACTTTGCTTTATTTTTGGTTATTGTCCTTTCCCGTGGAACCAGTAGTCTCTCTCGAGCTGATCCTCCTTTAAAAAAAAAAAAAAAAAAAAGAAAGAGCGAGAGAGGGTGGTGGGGGTGGGGGGGGGAAGAGCAGCTGGAGTTTCTCCTCAGCTCGTTTTGACTTTTGTGGACGTGGATCATCTGGACTGGGAAGGGAAGCCGCGCGGCGCTGCTCTCCCCTTTCCCACCCCCTCGCCCCTCCAGCAGCCTGGGCTGCCGTCTCTCCCCCGAGCAGGACGGGAACTTTTATTTGCAGCTCGCAGCCCGTGGCGAATGGTGGGCATCTCCGGTCCTCTGCAGTGTGAGTACGGGCGCGGGCAGGGCTGGCTGGGCAGGGCGCGCCGGGGCGGGGGGAGCCCGAGCCCCTTTTCTTTGCCTTTCTCCTCTCCCGCAGGGCTCCCCGGGCTATGAGGGGTTCCCGTGGCTGTAACTAACCCAGGCGGACCGGGGCTGCTGCTGTGCCCAGGCCAGGTTAGCGCTGCATGCAGCCTTTCATGCTCTGTCCCCGGCTTACAAACTAGCACCCCAGATACTGCTCAAGAGCTCAGAAACCAAATAACCCAGTTTTGGCAGAAAATAACCCTCCCAGGCATATATTATAACAAAGCGTCAGATTTCTGTCTGGATTTAGGACTTGCCTTTTTCCTTCCTGCCTCCCCTCTCTCCAGGCTCTAGCGCTGGCCAGTGTGAGTTGGAGTGGCTGAAATATTTCTGATGGGATTGTTTTGTTTCGCTTGTTGTCTCACTGCAATCATAGGTTTGTGCAGCACCGGCAACATCTTTTCGGACTATTTTGAAAAATATTTTATGCGGTGCATGTCTCCTTTAGGTGGTCCGCGGTCTTGCAAATAGCTTGTTTACTAAAACGACAGGATAACGCTAGGGATTGCATTTCCGAAACTGCCATACACTGTAACTGTGTCATCTCCTCTGGCTGTGCTGAAGGGTTCGATTCCATAAATTCGCAACAGACCATTGATAAGGGAGATTGGAAGGATGAAAACCACATTCCCGGCCATTTAGACAAGCCTTTGACTTTTGCGGAGTTCGAGTCCTTTTGTTAGTGCCAAAGTTGAGAAATTTGGTTGAGTGCAGGGAAGGATTTGCCACCCTAGCAGGAGCACCCGTGACTCCGTTTCAGAAGTAATTTATAGCGACCTAGCTGTCGTTCTTGTACTCCGCTCCCCTAGATGTTAGAGAGAAACCGAAAGTAACTAATCGGACGCAGCTCTTAAATCGTTCATGCTGCAACCAGGAGCTAAAATGTTGCTTCCCTCAGTTCAGTGATAAGTTTAAAGGAGGGAGCGCGAGGGTATGGGGAGCCGAAGCAGCCTCCCCCTCCTGCCCCCCAGGTTGCAGCCGGAGCCGGGCGCGGCGGGACCGCCCTGCCCGACCGCAGCCGGAGGCTCTCCGGCATCGCCGCTGTGGGGAACAGACGCCTCGAAGCCGCTCGGGTTTCTCTGGGAAAGCAGCCCTCCATCTTCCGATCCGCAGCAGGCTCTGCCCGCCGCCCCCTCTTACCTCTGCCATGCCCTAAATCACGGCAGGGAGACGATCCGTCTCTCGCAGCCGCCCGGCCGTGACGCCCGGGAGCCGGCAGCTCCCGCCCCGCAGATAGCTCAGGAGCGGGCTGCGATCTGCTGAGTCCGCGGCAGCAAGTCTGACCGAAAGAGCTGCTTAAGTTTTGCACTGACAACCAGAGCCGGGCGGGAAGCGCCTGCCTTCGCCTGCCTTCGCGGCCCCGAGGTGCGCTATGCACGACTGCGCGCCCGCCTGTGCGGGCAACGCTGAACGCGCCGAGGGCACAGCACGGCGCGGCAAGGGCTGGGCAAGAATGGGTATATGTCTCTTAAAATCAGCCTGCGGGAGCTGCCGGCTGTCTCTGGGAAAGCAGCAAGTGCCAAACGCTTGGTTATTGGCGTAGCCCTGGCTAACTAAAAGAATGTCTTGTGAGTCTTGGTATGTACAGCCAAGCGTTTGTTCCAGCAAGTACTCCTGTGCTTAATGTAATGCTGACCCCTTTAACTTTTAACATCGCTTCTCCTAATTAATCTGTTCAGGCCCCAGACTTAAATGGCTGTCCACAGCTGCTGCAAATTGATTTATCCCCTGATGGTGGTCCGAGTTGCTGACCAAAGCAGGATTTTTTTTCTCCTCCCCATTTTTAGTCTACTAATCTGTTTTGACTTATTTCCTACTTACAGTAATGCTTGAATGCTTTTTGAAGGACTTGGAAAATATCTTCCATAGACATGTAACTAGAAACATAATTATTGTATTTGTAAACACAATATGTTAGGGCTAAGGGTGAGTATAATTTATTTAACTACACCCTTGAAGCCTTACACTTCCGTCTTAATTTCTGCATCCTGACAGATGCAATGGAAAGTTTAAATAAGCAACTTTGTTAACTGAAGTTTGAGGCAAGATGTGAAAGACGATTTTAGAGTTGAATTCTATTGTCCAGATTTTCTGTTCAGCTTTTCTGTTAACGGCTTAGTGAATCTGGGTAGCTGAGAGGATTGAAACTGGTTTTTAATGTTTGTTAAAGCTGATGCTTGACCTTTCCATGGGAAGTCTGAAAACCTCATTCAGTTTATTCTGGGCTGATTTCCTTAGGAAATTCAATATGATCAGGGAATTTCCTTCAGCTCAGCTGAATGGTAAAAAAGTTACTCCATCTTGTTTATGCATTCTGGTTTTAGCACTAGGTGTTTCTGTGTCTCCCCTTCAATAGGAAGATAATAGGAAAAGACAGGAGTATGGCTCATTCATAACTATACAGTCTGTGAAAATATGAAATTGGCAAAGGCTTTGTTAGGTGCGAGATTCACTGCAGATTTGCTGTAAAGGTTTTCAATTGGGAACTTACAATAACTATGCTTGATAATTGATAACTTTCTTAAGGTCAGTTTCATCATATCTGAACCTTCAGCATAATTGCTACTGTTTTCAATTAATGAGTCATTTTCCTTCGCTGTCATGGGAAGCTCAACATCAATGCAAAAAAATGCCAAACTCCACCAAAAATCCAACAGACTCTTGAATCCGTTTGCGACTCTGGCAAGCTGGAGCCAGGCAAGGGGTACAAGAGATGATAGCAGGACTTCTTTCTGTCCTGTGCTTGCAGAAGGGTGAGTGGCTGGGTTCTTGAGCCATGAGCATGCTGTAGGGAGACAAGAACCATTCTGTTTGTAATGGAATGCAGACAGCAGTGTTAGGTCACTGCTTCCTGGCAACTGCTGCACAAGTTGTTTTTCTTCAAAGGCTTTGAGCTTTTAAATAGTTTCCAAAATCTTTTTAAGTAAAACGCTGCCTTCTACCATTTTTGATCACCTTAACTTGTTTCGTGCCTAAATAATGGACCAGTAAAACATCACACAGTATCTCTCATCTGTGTACGCTTAACACTATGTATGCCTGTGTGCACATGGAGTTTTATACAGGGAGTATTGTTTTTGGAATAATGGGGGAGAAAAATAGCTCCACCTGGAGTGCTGGTCAGTGGATAGTCAGTTCAGGACATTCTTCCCTGTCAAATCCTGTTTCTCACTTCTCTGAAACGAACTTCAGACGACAGGCGTTTAATGTGAAGCTCGCCTCACTGAGGTACTGTGCAGACTGCAAACTCCTCATTGCCAGACCCTTTGGGTGAAATAGGCATCTGCAGTGTTTGCATTGGGGGTGATGGGAGAATGGGCTTGCAATTGTCATTTTCAACTTTCAAATCCACTTGCCACAGTCCATTACTGTTAAATCTTTAGCTAGTTGAATAAGGATATCAGTATGTTGCTATTGCAGGAGCTTCAGACTTTTTAGACTGGGGGGTGGAGGAGAAGGTCTTGTTCTTTGTTCTGTAGAAACTTAAGTTGTCATGCAGAGATCAAGAAGACTTAATAGCTGAAATAAAACATGAATTTGCTGGTCTGAAGAGGCCATTTCTCATGGCTTGGCTAAAGAAATGTGAAAAGATAATTATTTTAATCTGAATACATTAAAAAAACTTGGATCCATGTAGTTTGATCCATGCTCTTTTCCATGCAGCCTTTAACACAACCTACAACATGTAAGAAGTTGAAACTGACACTGAATTTAGTAATGAGAGTGTAAAACATTAAAACTTTAAAACATTGGCTTCCAGGTTACATTGTCTTTGTGATGTTTCACATCAGAGATCTAAACCAGTCGGTTTAAAAACTGAACTTTTAAGGCAATGGGTCTTGGTTTTCCACATAGACGTTCCCTTTTAAAGACCTGCTTTTAAAATGCACTTATCCTGTTCTTACTATAAACTTTATTAGTTTAATATATGGTAGCACAAATATATCAGGAAGTAGCAGACTGTGTGGTTTTGTGGATAAAGAAAAATGAACAGCAGACATAAAATCAAAGTCTGTTCTATCCTGTTCTTGAAAAGCTTTTTTTTTTTTATTTCCTCCCCTCCAAATTTTCATCTGAAAGACAATGACTTCTATCTTCATTTTTTTTCTGCCATCGATATGAAAGTTTCCAAATAACGTTTAGACAACAGTGGACATTTTATTAAAGTAAACATTAGTTCAGTATAATGGAGGTAATTGTAAGTGATAAGAGCAGAGCAGGTTATCTGTGTGTTGTTTAAACAGAAGGAGCTATTTTGCACCATTTCCAGTAGCCATCTGTAGAGGAGAAGGGTTTGCACCTGTCTGTCCACACTAATTATAGATTAGGTCCAAAGAAATGAAATTCGAGTAGCTTTTCTTTTAATGAAATCCATGGTGATTTTATTGTAAATGTGTTTTGTGTACAGACAGTGATGGTTTGTCTGTGAGTAAAATAAATTGCTGTATGGCTGTTACGTACTTGTAGTTGTAAAGCAGGATACTGCTGCATTAACAAAGGTCCTGAATAAAAATTCAGTGCTCCATTTAAGTCCTAGGCTTCAGTGATGTCTTTTGCTAGGCTTAATCAAAAAGGTTCACTGTAGGCACAGTTATTTAGGGGTATGTTTCAGGGTAGACTTTTCAGTTATCATCACTTTCATGTCAATGTACTGGCATGTAGGTGGTCCTTTGCCTGAAATATGAGGCAGAAATGGTTTCATGTTAAATATGTACACATATACATGTGGACTGTGTCAGAAATAGTTTCCTCTGGTTTAATCTATATTATTAAAAAAAAAGTGGAAAGAGTGAGAAACGCATTCTGAAGTAAAAGGTCACATGAATTTCTACCACATCTGTTTATAGTAATTATGAACATAATTAACATAAGAATTACAAGTGAGGTAATGACAAGCTGAGCTATGAGATATTATGCCATAACAGTCATATGTTGGAATTCTCACATTATAGCACACTAGAATTCACATATTCAATGCAAGAAAGAAAATGTTAGATTTTTATCTATTTTAATGCTTCAAAACTTATCTGCCTGGGGCAGATGGACTTTCCGCTTTAGAGGAAGGTAACCCATTATTACAAGAGAGTCAGTTGAAATTAAGATTTCTAGCCTGCAGCTTGGACTTTGAGACAGCTGTGCTTATGGAACGCCACTTCTGTTACACATTTGTATTCTGATTGTATTTATTTTATTAATACACAATGCTTTATTTTTAAATGTGTTTTCACAGCAAACTGCTTACATTAGGAAGGACCCTGGATTAGTTTTTTTTTTAGAGTTTTGTGATTTGAGTAATAAAAGTATGGTCAACATAGACATAAGATGCACATGGTGGCCCTGCAAGATGAGAATCTGGCCGATCCTAAATTAGTTCCTAAATCATGGAATATGTTCAAGGAAAAGCTCTGTAACAGAAATACCAAAAAAGAGCAGTCTCTAATTTGTGTGTAATAGTTTGAAATAATATATGCAGAAAAAAAATCTCTGTATTACCTTGCAGGTTGAATTAATTGAAAAGTCACTTTTCTTTAGAAATGCGTAGAACATGCCATTAAGTTTAGGAGCTAAGGTTTCAAACAAGTTGACTAACTTTTGTAATATGACCTGTCTGATATTACCTCCAAATATGGTTGTCACGCAACTGACAACTGGAGGAAGTTCAGGGAGAAGTGGCCCTTCTTCAGGGTAAAAATACTGGCTGAGGAATGCATAGTAAATTTGACATGTGAAAATCAGTTTGCCTTCACTGAAAAATTAAGGTCCTGGTTTTGCAATAGGAACATTTGGCCATCTGCTGTCTTTCCAAGGCTAAACATATAGAGTGGTTTATGAAAAAAAAAATATTACCTTGTGCTATGTCTCAGTGATACCAAGAGGTTTTCACATTATTGGATTAGTGGAGGATTTGTGACAGACTCCTTTTTTTATCTGACATTCATTGCAGTGACACGATTTTCACACACATGCCCTTCCCCCATCTAGGTTCTGGTTTTCACTTTGTATTATGTGTCAAATTCCCTTTATTCCTTTTCTTGTGGAATAAACTGCTATCTTGGACGAGTGATTTTGGAAGGAGTTTTGCACTGAACAATGCCAGTCTCACTTCAGCGTGCTGTCATTTTCCTCTTCCCTCCTTCGTGCAATGGAAATGTGTTTCCTAACAAAAAAGTGTTGATTCCCACGGAGAAACATTTTAGAAACTTTAAAACCTGGGTGCATAGAGTGCCTGGCGCTGGCATAGCTATTCTGCCGGCTGGCCGCACTTATGGTAGGCAGGCCAGGCCACTTTGCTGTCCTTGCTTTCCATGCTTCGTGCTAACCCCGTGCTCTTGGACGAATCCCGACAAAACAGCCCCTCAGTTTTCACAGAACCCGAGTTGAGAAGTATAGGGACCTACTTCTCCTTATTGCTCATTCTCTGGTGAATGATGCCACCACTTTGTAGCAGCAGTGCTGTGTTTAGGCTCTTATGCCAGTGGTGACAACAAGCAGGCTGGATTAGGTAGGGACTTGGCCAAACTGGGAGCGCATAGAGTCTGTGACCGTACCGGGCCAGCGGCCGCTGTGCTCCGTGCGGGAATTAGGCACGGTGTGTGAGGAGGTAGCCGGGCTGCAGCAGTAGGTACGGCCTGTGAAATGAGAGCCGGGCTGCAGGCAGTCACAGGGACGATCGCCTTAGTGGGGGTGGTGACGGCCACCTCCGGCAGGGGAGCCTTGGGGAGCCAGCGCTGCGCGACCCCTGGCAGGGTCCTTATCCTGGAGAGGTGCTGGGGTACTTCCAGGGCCGGAGCCGGCCCCAGGGCAGGCACCCGCAGACCTGGGCACCGCCGCCTTCTCCCGCGGTGGGCGGTGCGGAGGTGGCGCCTCTCCCCGTGCCGGGCGCGGCCTCCCCGGGGACCCCGGGCCGGCTCCAGCCGCGCTCCGGCCCCGCTGCCCCGCACATCCTCCGGCCGCCATCTGGGCCGCGCTGATACCGTAATCGGCCCGATGCACGCCGCCGTGCCGCTCCCCCCGCGCCGGCGGGGCCGCGGAGCCGCGATGCTCCGTCCCTGTGCCGCAGATAAGCAGCGAGGCGCGTGAGGCGCACAAAGCTCGGGCCGCGCCGGCGCCGCCTCGTCCCTCCCGCCGGAAGGTAAAACCCCCCCGCGGGCGGCAGGCGCGGAGGGGCGGGCGGGGGGACGCCCCTCGCCGCCTCGCACCGCCCGGTCCGGCCTGGCCCGGCACGGCGCGCTCCGGCTGCACAGCCGATAGGCGCAGGGAGAAGTGAAGATGTAACCACTTATTATCTCCCCCCGGCGCGGGCGGGGATTTGCGGACAGAGATCAGCCGGCGGGGAGACGGGATCTGCCTTTTGTTGTGCTGCCTCCCCCCGGCCCGGGCAGCCCCGAGGGGAGCGGAGAGGGGCTCGCCTGCCGCGCTGTCCGTGGGCAGGGAGGAGGTGGCCGCAAACAAAGGTGGTGACTAAGGGACCCCACTTTAAACACAGCCCAGAGGAACAGAGGGGGCCATGTCTGGGTGTCTGCGGGACGGGGTGGAGGAGCCCCGGCCTGGGGAGGCGGCGGGGCTGAGGGGATGTGACAGCCCCGGCCTGTCATGCCCGGGCACCCACCGCTCACTCCTGGTGTGGTTTCAGTGAAGGATCCTGACTTCCAAAATTCCCGAGGGGGATGACACCAGGCTTCAGGAAAAGTGCCCTGTTTGCTCTTTTTGTTGTTTTGGATGGACTTCTGGTGGTGCTTTTTAAGTTCTCTTCCAGATTAAAATGAATTGCATGCTCAGTGTGTGCACACCCGGTGCTTTAAAGAACGGCTTTAAACAATTACCTTTATATTTAAAAGTTTGAAATATTTATACTGCCGTTGCACTTTGTCAAGTGTTTGCACAGATAGATATATAGATATGATCTGGTAACTAAAAGCCTAATTAAAATTTGTTTAAAGCCAGGGGGGCATGTATTCTTGTTGACAGCAGCAGATCGATAGGGTAAGACAATAGAGCCCCATTATTTTACTTCCATTGACTGAACATATTGACATTTCAGGTTTGCGATTGCCTCAGTGAGCATGATGAAACACTGAAATTCATGAACCAACTGTCTGGAGTGGCACATATATTACTGTATGTCATCTCTGCCTTCAGGTTACCTTATCACTGAAGCAGAATGGTAATGGATGGCAGCAGAGTACTTCAGGGGGGTGAGGGCTCCATCAGTTAAGAAGCTGACACGTAGCAGGTTTCAGGAGTATCTTTAATTACACCTAGAATTATGTACAAAGGAAGATGGTCCTTGTTACCCGCTGCTGTGCTTCAGAGTTTACAGGCTCAGCAGCAGACGGGATAACAAGGTACTTACATGTAATTTTTTATATACATGACTTGATACCTTTAACTTTTGCAGGAACCCAAGGATTTCTGGTTGTGCTGTTTGCATGCTTGCCATGTTCACCAATGGCAGCATCTCAACCCAGTCTTGATGCTCAAGTTCCAGAGCATCTGCTAGACCTTCTCCCAGTCTGAAGACTGCAAAGGAAACAAAGAACAACTTTGAAATAAATAAATGCCCTTTGAGTTTCTCTCCCCTCAACATGTTCAAACAACAGTGCTTGGGGAATTCAATACAGTGAGACTATAGCAGAATGAAACATACATGCATATATGTATATCTATATATATACACATACACATTTTTTCCTTGCTATAAGCACCATAAAAAGAAATGTCTGGGCAATATGTGCACATGAATGCATAATTGTATATATCAGTCTATATGATTGCATATAAATGCATATGTAAAGAAGACCCCTGTCTGCAGAGCATGCAATGTGTTTATTATTCCAGGGGCTCTCACATCATCTTTAAAATCTAGCTGACTGTAGAATGAAACCCATCAAGACAGTGCAGGGATAGAGACTGAAATTAATTTAAAGCAGACAAAGAGCAAATACAGAAGAGTCATTATGATTTAACTAATTTTTAAAAGTAAGCGGACTGAAAATATAAAATGTATTTTGTGTGCCATCTACTCAGCAATTGTTGCCATCAAGTGGACTGCCGATGCCCTTTAAGATGGTAAAAAGAAAACTAGTCCTGTATACCATTTTCCTGAAAATGTTAGGTTTCTGTTTGATCAGCAGGTGCTGTTGAGATGAAAGCCATGTGTAAATTTTCAGAAGGCCAAAAGTGTCAATTCAGAAAAGGAAAGTGATAAGAGAAAATGCAATCAGTTTTCCTGTTTTCAATTTGTGCAGGATTTGAAGAGCTGTTTTGTTAAACTGCTACATCTGCTCCAATATGAATATTGAACTACTTCCACTAAAAATAACACCCTATAATTTGGAAGCCATTGCAATCTTTTGTTAATGCAAGTGGGTTATTTGAAAAAAAAAATCTATTCTGAAAAATCTCCTGCCTAATGTGCATTTTTGTTTATCGGCACTTTTATCTTCAGCAGATAAAATGGCATTATGCAATTAGGACCATATCTATTTGAACTGGAAAAATGACACTGGATAGCTAAATGCCACTATGTTGGTAAAAGGATTTAACTCGTATTTTTAAAATAATTTTATTAATAAACTATGATTGTATCTTAAAATGACATGTGTCTGTTTCCCCATTGCAGCAATACAGCTTTACTTACTACTGAGGACCTTGAGCAATGGAAAGGATGTTCAGTATATGACACAACTTTCTTTGGCTTGTTTCATTCCTGATATACCTGCAAATCTTAAGTTTAGGCTCAAAAAGGACATTCTAGTTAATGGGGATTTTGGAGTAACTTTTTCCATGGTAAATGAAATGATAGAGTCATATTTGAATGCACATATACAAAAATATTCACGGTTGTGGAGCTGCTAATCCAAGTTGATTCTATGACTTGGAAAGCATGGTATTGGTAGAGCATACATTTTCTATCTTAAGCATCTCTGGAGAGCATAACACTGTTTCTTCTAATTAAAAAAAAAAACAACAAAAAAACTCGATGATAACCTAATGGAAAAGATATGTGTTAATTTTTTAAAATAGGGATCTAAACGAAGAAGGGATAATTCACTGTTAAATCTATGGAGCTCTGTGTTAATCTGTGGAGCTACTACTTAGCATGAGTAAACGTGCAGAGTAGGATGAGAGTTTTTATTGCTTTATTTCAACGTAGCTAATTACCTGGTTTTAATATTGGAATGGGTTTTAGCTGTTGAATTCTAATCTAATCTAGTAGTCAGGAACTAATTTTTTTGGTAGGTGTCTGCATGGGAAAGGGCCTTGCTGATGCTTCCGTTTGGTTTTGCAATTGCATTTATACACTTTTGACCTTGGGGGATTTTCCTCAAAGTGATCTACAGATCAGAAATAATTAAAATTCAATAAACAAATTTAAATATAGAATGGATTCTGTGTGAGATCCATGCTTGTGGTAGGTTGTCTAGAAGTCTGTGGCACGTCTACTTCATAGTTTGTATTCCCCAGCATAACTGTGTGCACACATGTGCATAAATTTATATTGAATGACAGAGGGATAATTATTTATACAGATTTTATCCAAAACTCTGCTCTCCTGAAACCTAACAAAAAGCCTCCCTCCCCAGAAGAGTGTTTACATCCCGTGACAGTCACTAGATTCAAATCTTCTCAACATGAAAGTTGTTTCCTTTCCTCCAAACCTTCTTTTCCCCAACAAAGCTAACCCTGTTAAACCTCACCTTCTGTGGGATGTATACATAGTTATAGACATATGTACGAGAAGTAAATATTACAGAAAACATGGCCGATTGGGGCAAAATGTCTGTAGCCTTAAATAGCTGGTGATATCTGCCAACAGCAGGAGCGGCGCTGAGGAGGCCCTACCTCGGCTGACCCGGGATGTGAGAGCCTTGGGGAGCCTCGTGTTCGTGCTCAGCGCCTGAGTGGGGCTTTCTGCTCGCAGATACTGCTTCGCAGTTCTGAAACCCAGCAGCTTTTTACTTTGGTTGTTGGATTTTCTGGTACTTTGAACAGGGCTTGAGGTGGAGCCCAGCCCCAAAAGAAAGATTATAACTGCATGCAGGGTGTCCAGATTTTCTTATCTAAGTGTTCTGAACACATTCATGGGAGTGTTCTGTTTTCTTAATCTTTGCCAGAAATGCTGCATACAGTTTTGCTGTTCCCGTTGAATTGTTGCCATATTTAACTCCACGGTTGTGAATGGAAATGTGAATACTTTAATGTTCTCTCCCGTTTTCTGTAACACATTTTGGGATGCCTGGAAAGGGAAGGCATCCTAGGTACTCAAAAGTATTTCAGAATACACAAAAAGAATTTAATTGAAGTTCTGAAACTTGGGTTTGTTTATATGTAGTTTTTTGGGCATATGTGATATGGTGACTTATTTAAGGAATATATTTTTATACTCAGTATTATTTATTGAATGTAATGTTCATGAAAGTACAGTTGTGCTGTACAGAACTGTATAGCAACAATATTCCTGCATGATCCCATATTTTAACATTGATTTGGGATCCTCATGGGATAGCTCATGATTTTTTAAATCATTTTGGAAGGCATTTGATTCATTGCCATTTTAATGTCTATCAAGACAGGTATACTCTGGTGTTTACAGTAAAGTAAATGTGCAAAGTTCATGGAATATAGATACTAGGTTTTTTTGGAAATTAGGTTGCAGTCTGGAAAGACAGAAGACTCCACCTAGTGGAGTGGAATTAATATGCACATGGTGGCAGGCAGCGCAGAGAGTAAAACCTAGGAATTCAGACAAGCATCGGAGGCGATGGTTGTATGACCATTAGAAATTGTAACAGGTTGTAGTTACTTTTGGAGCTCTAGGAGGCTTATGTATGTCTGCCATGTTGGTTGTTAATATGCAGTTTGCATAAGTAGTAGGCATTACCACTAGTTTTTTTATTTTGTGGTGTCTTTTATTTGGAGATCTGTTGTCTACATTTTTAAATTTCTGATGGTGACCCCTCAGGAACCCCTTTTGGTTGTGGCCCAGGTGCCATTTAAAATACCTTGTTTTTAAAAAAAAAAAAAGGACCAACAATTTAGTTCCCAAAAAATCACCACTTTTTCTCCCACAACTACTTATTTTTCAGAGTACCTTTTCTGGTTTTTGCTTCTTTTACTTCAGTAATGACAGTATCAGAATGTTGGTTCTGCATGTTACCATGATAGGTTGTGTGGCATGTTGACTAAGGCTGTGTGTAGTTTCTGGGAGTCACAAGGTTTAACAAACTCTCTGATGAAGCATCAGATTGTATGGGGTTTTGTGCCTGTGCTTTACTGTCCCATTGGTTTGGTCATGTTGTGCTACTGGGATGTAATAAAAAGAATTTTAAAGCTGAGATGTGAGTGAACATCCATCCTGTGCAGCTAAGATATTGGCCTAATATCCTCTTGGAAAATTAATTCTAACATTGAATCACACATGCATTGGACAAGTTGAGGAAGAGAACTCCCCAAGACCAGCTCAGGCTTTGACAGTGAGAGAGTGAGGCTATTGCCAGAAAACGGGATGATTAAGGTGCAACGGAGGAGACAGAATGATGCAAAGGATATTTGGGAAGAGTGCTCCAAAGGCGTGCTTCCAGTGAAATCCAGGTGGGGTTTGTTGCCAGAGCCATTAAAGCATAATGGTCCCAGAAAAAGCTGCCAACAAATGTGGGAATAATGGCACCTATGGGTGTGCTGTCAATGGATGGTACTGCCAGGATGATTTTTTATTTTATTTTAATGGTGACATTGCTAAAAGTATTTAAGGGTAATGTTATAGGAAGTGTTTTAGTGAGTGAAGTCACTGAGTTCCAGGAACCATTAAGCAAAACCTGTTTCATGACTCTACTATTTAGTATTTTAAAGCTGGATGGCAAACCACTTGATGCTGGAAAAGCAAGCTGCAACCTGTATTAAAGTATGCTGCAGGTGGACAAGGAAAACATCCTACTGAATTGAATAGCCCAAGGTAGTTTCTGAATGTTGTACACATTTCATGTGCACCATGATAAATTAATGCAACTCTATGCATCAGCAGAGCTTGTAAACATTGAATTAAATACTGGAGCTCAGACCGTACGTGGTACTCGTATACCTAGTTCTCACTGAAGACAGTGTTTCTTTAGTTAAAATGCCAGTCTGAGGAGCTGAGCCCTCAGGCTTTCTGTGCTCCCATCTCACCTCCATGATCTTGAGAATACTTTTTAAAGACTAGTTCTCAGACTTAGATCTAGATCTCTCCCTAATAAAATGGGCTAGCTGAGGTCTCAGTGTAAAGCAAGGACATTCTTTTTGAATTGTAAATCACAGACTTACCTGACAAGACTTCCATATAAAGGAGAGAAAAAGCCTATTTCTTCCATAATAATGCTTGCAGATTCCTATTGAGTCCATTGGGCCAGGATTCTCAACTTTTGTATCCCAAGATGTGTTTTAAGTTGTGTTTAAGCCAGCTGCCTACTCCAGACTTCTTCCAGAGGACTTCACAGCTACGGTAAATACCAGCTACAGTAGTTAGAAGAGGGGAATCAGTGTGTAATTTCCCTTCCACATTCTGGGATTTATTGGTCCCACGCTCTTCACCTGGGGAGCCTCTGACATTAATTTTTTTTTTTGTTTTGTTTTTGTTGGTTTGTTTATTTGTTTTTAAATCCAGGCCTCTATTTCACTCTGTCTACAGAGCTATTATTGGCCACTATTGTTTTTATTATTCCATGACTTCTCTGGGAAGAGAAGGATGGGCAGGACCTCAGTGACATTGCCAGAGCAAGTCATCAGTGGCCATGTCTGCCCCTTAGGAGGTCACAGGAAACAGGTGGCTCTGTTAATTGTCCTTACTCCCAACTCTTGTCCTTCCTGGAGGGAATTTAGAAGTGGTCAGGAAGTGTCAGGCCTACTGTGTCCCCCCAGGTTCGTTACTTCAGGCATTCATCATAATTTGAGGTATGTGCCAAGAAAAGGAGACTGTATGGGAATCCTTACTCCTTTTTAAGCTGAGTGGCTACCTGGCTGAGAGGGCAGAATGCTGTTGCTGCAGAGTATGTTTGGGATTGCAGATGGAATCCAGCAAAGTTACAAATAATTATATGAAAAAAAGTATTTCCCTATCATACACTGTTTTCTTTCTTGCAAGATAATCATAAAAAGTACTAGGTAAGCAAACTACAAAAACTCAAGAGGGGCATGAAATATTTCTGGAAACTATGATCCACTTTTATCTGGTGAGTTGAGGATGGAGAATGTCAGTGTATTTTCTGCTTAGGCCAGTTTTAATTGTCTTTGTTGCTACTGCACCATCAGTAGTCATGGATCTCTAAATGGCACTCAGTCCTGTGCTTTGGAAAATCAGTTAGGGTCTTGATTCTTTATATGAGCTTCTTGTTAACAGCTTGCTTGATTTTTTTAGCTGTGAAGGTGCATAGCATTGCTGAGTATCTCACTGCCAATGTGGCACCCAGTGCTGTAAACCAGATTTTGAATTACCAGTAATGTTGCTATAAAATGTCTTTTGGAAAGTATTCACTCACCTTGGAAGTGATGTGAATTAAGTAATAAATATACTAATTATTTATCTGCCATATGCATTTGGGGTGAAAACTCTGAGCTTCTGCTAAGGTGTACTCTTGGTGTTACTGAGACTACTTGGCTAAATAAGGTGGGCTGTAGGATTATGTGGTTGGTGAATCACACTGGTTTCTGAATCACTCTTAGAAAATACCATCCTGAAATGCTAGCAGATAATGAACACATTGTGCTTGGACTGGTACATTATTTAAAGAATAGCATTTTAAAGTAGAATATTTTGTAAAATGTTAGTTTAAGAGCCATTTTGCAATTTACTTCCATCAAACCCATTGTACCAGGAAAAATACCTCCTTCAGAAGGGAAAAGGTGTCAGTATTGTGGAAAAATATCTGATTTTTATCCTGCTATTTGCTATTTAAGCTCCCTTCTTTTCAGTGCAAGGAGATCAGCTGACAACAGCAGCAACCAAATCATGTTTGCAGCTGGGCAATTACAGTAGACCCTAAGATCTGCAACTGTCAGCCATGAACGCAGATGCCTTCAAAGTTCTGTTTTTCTTCCGTGTGGAAGTCGTTGGCATGGAACAGATGCCTTCATTTTGGAGAAACCAACCGCTGGATATAATTGGTTCTCTCTTGTCTTGTCCTCTAGGGACAGTCTCTCGCAGATGAAATTAGATGAGAGGAAAAAAAAAAAAAATACACAGGCACACACGCTCGCACATGACATGAAGCAGGAGTTTTCAGGATCCCTCTCTGTTTTGTCACGTGGAACTGTTTTCAGCTGGAAGATTTCATTCCATTTTTAGCACTCTACACACACACACGATGATGCTATATGAAAAACATGCAAATGAAAATATGTATCTGGCCAAAGTTTATTATTAATCTAGGCATGCTTGTTTAGAAATAAGACAAGCATGTCCATCCCATATTACTTTAGTGTTAAATGTTGACTTCTGTGATATCTGTTAGTGCTGCAGTCTCAGAAATTTAAAGTTAAGTCTCAAATGAGACAAGATGCTTTAAAAACTGTTTTGTTGCAGTTTTGGAATCAAAGTATTTTTATCAAATTATTTGGTAGTTGTTAACATGGGAGGAAAAAAAGCAAGTAACAGACTTCAAAATTCACCTAGCATTACAGGCATTCAATTAAGAAAGCATCTTTACAGGAACTTCGGCAGAGTTAGTCTGATGGACGCCTGTGATGTGCCATTTCTGGGAGCCCTGTGGTAGGGTACTGGAGTGACTGTGTCCTCTTACTGCAGGCACTGAAAATGAAATGATGGCAAATGGACTTACAGGCTGTAACAGAGAAGGAGAATCTGCCTACACTGTGCCTGTCAGAGAGTTTCTGTCATCCCCTCTCTGCCCTGGTGTAAGAATTATCAAACCATTGTGGTTTGTGTTACTTAATTATACTCTTAAAATAAATGTATACCAACTTTAGATTACCGTATTAAGCTCAGTTGTGAACTGTGACAGTCAGGCGGTGCTGTGTATTCTTGAGTAGACTGGGTACATCCAGGAGGTGGGTGCAGCAGGGGATCGGGGGCTGCCAGGAAGTAAAACCACCATTGCTGGTACGCAAGACTCTGGAGGCCTCATCTCAGAATGCCTTTTGTTTATTAAGTTTTATTTCCTAGTAGAAGTTGGGGTTTTTGGTTTTGGTTGTGGTTATTTTTTTAAATTTAAATAGATTTTGCAGTTTGAGGTATAGGTCTCTATTTTACATGATGCATTTGCTACCTACTGTAATAGTAATGTCACCAGCAGTGAAAACTGTCAGGAGTTACCTTGGTCCTGCCTGGGTAGAGTTGGCAAAGGAAGTCAGCAGTTTAGACACTTGATGTAGCTGGATAGCTGCCCTGTGCTGTGCTCCTTTGTTTCCTGCTAACCCCCGGGAGCTGTGTGGGTGGAGGGACTTTGAGCAGTTAGAAGGAAGCCCCAGGTAAACTTGTTTTTGAACTGATGACTCTTCAGCTTTTATAGAGAGAGATTTTTTGCTGTGGGACTCCAGTTCTAATTCACAGAACTTGAATGCGACACTGTGCTTGCCCTTAGCATTACATTTCTGAAGAATGGCATATTAAAGGGAAAATTTAACTGGGGAAGTGCTTAGGTGATGAAGGGATTTCTGGCAGTAACTAGGAAGTGCAATAATGGTTCGTTTCATTTGAGGCTGATCCTGATATTTGTAGTCTTTACATCCTATTAATTCCTTGAAAGATAAGCTGATATAAGAATGATTTGCCAGGGCCAATGGCTCTTCTAAAAGTCTTGGCTCAGGTTATATCCCTCTTCTCTACACATACAAGATAAAAGCACTCTGAATATGAGGTTAACTGAATTCAAATAGAAGACTCTCTAGAGTTATTGCATTCCTTAGAAAATAAATACATTTCTCATATGGTTGAGATTGATCAAAAAAGTATTCTGTATGCCAGTGATTACATTCCCATCTGTGATTAAGGTTTTCTGTCTGCATCTGGTTTTCACATTATATTTCTGTAACAGGAATCCTTTATATGGCAGAGTTCACTCTCTGTATTTTCTATTAGCTGCAGCTTGAACTACTGCATGGATCGCAGATTTACACATGTGGTTTTCATTACTTCATACCATTGAGAAAAAGTAATATTTGTTTGGGAAAGTATGTTTTTCAAAATTTCCATGGTAATACAACATGTTGATCCTTTTTTATAACACTCATGTAAGACTACAAATTGTTTGAGGCATTCTGCTTTCACTGAAGGTTCAGACATTAGACAGCTTTCCATGTACATTCGAGCAACAGCAGCAGTTTACAATTCACGAAGCAAAAATACATTTAAAGAAGGAGATTAGTGTAGAATGGGTATAGCAAAATGCATCCATCACTTTGGAAAATGTGGCAAATAGAAAAAACGAACAGGGGCCTGAAACAAAGGAAGAGTAGCAAATTGAAGTGATGTCTTCATTGTAAAGCAGATGACAGATTTTTTTTTTAAACTTTTTTACAGTAAGATGTTTAAAATCTTTTACCAGCTATGGAAAATGAGTAAGCTATTCATCAGAAATACTGAATTTTTATATATTACATAGTTTATTGACTATAATTGTTTCTAGTGGCCAAATTAGAAATGGTTAGCAAAACATGAATATATCTTTACAGATGTGTAACTCTGAATCCAAAATATTATGTATTCCACTGTAAGACAGTATTTCAGCCAGATTGTGCTATTGCCACTTGGTAGCAGACTTAATGTTTAATGATCTCAGTGAAATTAATAGGGCCACTTGGTCAGTGGAGAATTTTTCAGTTTTGGTAGGATTTATGGGTTCATGACCATAAAAATCAGATCAAACAATAACAATACAATGCTGTATGCATTTATGGAAATTTAAAAGTGTTATGCAAAAGTCTGGGCAATTGAAAAGTACACAATTCATGCTAGAGGCACAACTGAAAGGTAAATTTATTGCCTATGTAAGAACATTGTGACAACTAGAGAATTACATACAAAATAAAAATAATTTTATTAAACTAGTTATTGTTATTGTACCCAAGTTGTGGAGTCCTAACCACATTTTGGAGGTTATTTTCCAAATGCCAGAGGCAGTTGTGTCACTTTGAGTGCTCCACAGCTGCCAAATCTGGGTAGAGTCCTGCAGTCCTTACCACTTGTTTTCACTGAAATCAGTGGAATTTTGGCTTCTCTCGGGACTGTGGGGAAACGTCCGACCACGACAGCTGGAAAGAAAGAAAGGACTTTGGTGAACTCCTTTGTTCTGTAACCTTAACTTTAACTTGGGAAGGTTTGTTTTGATTTGAGAAGCGTGCTTCTTTGTGGGAAAGATTGCAATTTCTAGCACAAACAAAAATGTGATCTTTTGCAAATGCCCTTGGGCAATGATTTTTTTTTGCAGAAAGATCCAGTCCAGGAGAGGGTTGGGGCTGGATTCTGGGTTAGATGCATGAGCTGTGGCGGGATCCTTGTGCATGCTTAACTTGATGTCCCCAAATACTTGAAGAGTTGTTGCAGATTGAAGCATGTACATAACTATGCGTGCTTGGCTCTGAAAAAACTTTCTGTCTTGACATAATTATGAACCCCTGAAAAGCATATTAATGCCTTGGAAAAACTGACAACACTTTGATACAGACATATACAAATGGCAGAGTATTTGTGTAACCCAAACAAACAAGTTTTTTAGGTGTTGGAGTGGGAGGGAAATTGCCTTGTCAAAAGTGGGAAGATGATTTGTAAATATATCAATAGCTTTTTGATCTGCCTTTCTTTAAATGTGTTTGCTGTTATGACTTACAAATCCAATTTAGTACAGTGATGTGTAAATTGGAAGATCTCTATTTTTAGTAAACATTTTGATTTAATAAATGGTTCTCTAGAGCTCCTGTTGAACCAGGTAAAGTATGTAATATTTTGTATTATGTGAATGTATTTAAACCCAAGCATTTTTACAGAATTAACTAATTGGTAGCATATAGGCTGCCCTTAATCTGTTGCCTTCTATATGTCAGCTGTTTTAACTGAGCAAATTATGAAACAACCTCTGTTGAAGAATTAATACAGTTTTAAAGTACTACCTTATATTAGCTAAGAAAATGGGGTTACTTGGTTTAGAATAATGTTTTTGTCTTCCCTTTTTATTTAAGACTATTATCATGTAAATTAAGGGGTGTGGTGCTTCAAACTGGCTGTGATATATGCTTTTTTTTTTTTCCATTTGTTGTTGTCAATAGAAAAGATTGATCTCTGGGCTGGTGAACATAATATCTGTCCCAGTCAGAAAAGGAAAGAGGAAATTAGCAGAGCGATTGGTGGAGAATGATATCTGTCAAAAGAAACACTTGGAGAGCACTGAGTTTAGTGATAGGTGACTGCCGGAAAAAAGGGAACTTTGAATTTTGTCAAGGTAAGGAACAGAAAAATATTTGATTTTATAATGTGAATACCTTTTAGAAGTTATTTGTGTGTATATAATGACTGTACCTTGCCTTGTAAACTGTAATTAAAAAGGAAATCTTTCCCTTTAGCTCCAAAGAGTCCGCCTAAATCAGTGAAGGTGCTGTCCTTGTTTAATACAAGTGAGAAAGAGTACTGCAATGCTAATAAAATACATCAGTCATGACTTTTCTAAAATCTTAGATACATATATGTGAAATTTTGTACTTTGGGGTTCTTTTTACGTTTTTAATGACATAGTTGCTCTTTATGTGTCATGTCAGTATTACTTGGCTGGGTTGTGGAAGTAGTGACGTTCGGTTTTCTGAACTGTGAATTGGAATAGTATTTGCAACCAGGTTAAGAGACAGTTGTAATGACATTGGCAAAATGGTTGTTTGTAATTTATTGGAATCCTCTGGTAAACTCATTGCATCAAACTGGGAATGTGTGATAAATTTGATTGAGATGATAATGAGAATGGATATTTCTGCTTCTTGCGTGCAAAGATTTTTACCATACTAAAAAGTAAATCTGCTATTGCTGGACAAAATTTCTAGATAACCTATGACAGTCGTTCCTGTCTTTACTGTAACTACATTTTTTCTTCTAAAATGGTGTTTGTCTGTATGGCAAGAAACTGCTTAACTGATTTTAAGTGATTTGCAATACTTGGATAATTTTCTTTCTCAGTGTTGGACCATATTGCCTGACATAACTTTGATAGAGTATGGTACCAAAATAAGATGAATGGTGTCTGGGTACTCTTGTCTTTGCCTTGGATAGTTTTAAAGGTAACTCAGCCTTGATCATTTTACTTGTTTTCCCACCATGGAGACACCATGGCCCATGCTGTTCTGCCTGTGGGGTGTGGAGAGATGGAGAATAGCTGAAAGAGCCAGTGGGAGCCTCTGCACATCACCTTGTGGCAAGAGCTAAGCCTGAGGTTTTGTGCACCAGTGTGAACATACTTTAAAAAAATTAAATCCTAATAAAAATGAAGTTGCATTTTAACTTGAGTTCCTAGCTCAATTTAAAACAAATAAATGCTTTTGTGAGAGCTTCATGTAGTCAGGCAGCACTGGAAGAGAATGAATGATCTTAGCAGAGTTTTTTGGTGTGTTTTGATTCTGCTTATTTAGCAGTGTATAGCTTCTGACTAATTTCTCCTTTTCACTATCTACAGTCTTGTTTTTCAAAGTGCAAATGTACCCTGTACAGGTGGCTGTTGGTTGGTTTCTTTTGCCATATGGGTCTTCATAAAGATTAAAAAAAAAAAAAAATGTAAAAGTAAAGATGTCATGCCTGAAGCATGCAGTGCTGGCATACTAATGGGAAGTTTATTGTGGTTTACTGCTGTCAGAGCACGTGCAAGATAATGGAAATTTCCTACAACTTGGGAGAAAGGCTTATTTTCTAATACCATTTAAAGAAAGGAAATTAATATGACTAAAATTCACTTCATCTCTTTAAAGTCCAACTGATTGGATGGTTGTTGAAGTATTCGTAAAAGGGAGGGAACAGCACCATATCCCTCCTGTTCACTGTTGTGCAGGTTGTGCTCTCTGTATTGTATGTGTGCAGGCACATGTCTGCCATGGTGAAGTTGCTGTATACTGCATGATTCCCTTCCCTGTGCAGTTCCATCAGCTGTAGCCTTATAGCTAAATAAACACATCTCTCTGTGGCACCTCTTACAGAATTAACAATATTGTATAGTTTCCACCGTGGTAATGAATAATTCAAAACTGATTTGTAGCTCTTAGAGAGTGATCAGTGGTGGTGAACAGTTTTTAGATCTTTGGCCATTCCCGTTTTGCCATTTACTTGAATCGAGGTGACTGGGTAAGGTGTCTATATCTGGATGTATTTGTGACATGCTCAAAAATTTTAGTTTTAAATGGCCAAGAAGGTCCACATTTTTAATGATTTTTTTTTGTTTTAAATTTCAGTGAGCAATTAGAGATGAAGTCAACATTGTTTGAGCTTAACTTAATATGGATTTTGCTGTGCCCAAGAAGATTTGATTTGCTATTTGGAGCCTAAATGGAGTAAAAGGCAAAAAAAAAAAAGGTGTTTTGAGTTTATTGCCTCCTTGAAGCAATGGCCTCTTGTAGCAATGACTACTTCTGCTGATGTGACCCCTTTCAAGCATCCTCAGTTTTGTTTTGCTATTGCAAAGTCATCTTCTCTTAGCTTCTTTTTGTCTTCAAAAGAACTGTTTGCTTACCAATGTATCTTAAGGAGTACAGTGAAAATAATAAAGTCCCCTTCAAAGATTCCACAGATGCAAAAGAATATGGAACTGTATTACAAACAATGAATTGTACTTCCAATCAGAATTTCATCTATTCATGTGGTGCACACCTGTGGCTTGCTGGCATTGCTCTTGATTGGAGTGTGAGAGAGCTTAATGAGAAGCAAAGCCAGGATGACAAGGAGAGACTCCATAGCAAACATGGGTTACTTCACATTACTAAGAAATTGAAATTCTAAATACTGCTTTGGAGACACCTCCCTAGTATGTGGGGCATGTATGGGTGACCTGCAAAGGACACTGGTGCCCTCCTTGCCGCTACCTTGCAAATAAAGCATTTTTCTCTCTAGGTCAGGTGAGAGCATGGCTGATTTCTCCAGCTTGCTTTCTGAACCAGTAAGAATATCCTGGGCAATAATCCAGCTTTTGAAGTACAAAGAAAATAACCCATAATCTATATAAATTGCTAGCGGATGGGGAAGGCAGGAAATTTACAGAGAACAACTGAGTTTGAGAACAACTGTGTTAAAAGTAGAATGTAAGGGGAATGTGTGTGTTTGACATTAGTATTTATTTAAATTTGAAAATACAGTCTTTGAAATCTTTGAGGTGAGCAGAGGACAAGCTCTTGCAATATGATATATTTATTAGTAAACTGAAACCAAGTGCTCCAGTTCAAGTTCCTT